GTGGATCGAAAACTGTCTTATTATAAGTACTTTCTGAAAGCCGTGCTCGAAAATGACCACGCCAAGCTCTACTGAGAACGGGCCATCATCACAAACAGGACTATTATTGTGAATAAACCTGATATTGTGCTGATGAACCGGGCACAGTCGAGGCTATTTTTGGTTGACATTACCATTTCATATGACAATAACCTATTGAAAGTCAAATCAGATAAGAAAACAAAATATCTGAACCTGGCTCATGACGTGACCGACATGTAAGGTGGTCTGCCGACCGAGATTATTCCTGTAGTCGTCTTTGCGAATGGGCTAATCCTGGTCAGCCTCTCGTGTCATCTAAGACGAATGGGATTCCGTGACGGACTGCTCCGAGCTGAAATGCAGAAGGCGATGCTTCTCGATATCGCCCGCATCGTTCGCCGGTTTCTCTCCCTTTCCCCCTAACCCTCGGCCGTTTGGTCTCCCCTGCCGAGGGCTTCCATCTAGTTGGGCTTTAATTTATATATGTATAATTTGTTTATTTATGTTAGTATATTTAATATATATTTATGTATATTTATCATATCCTTTTATATATTTATTAAGCCCAACCAGATGAGAATACTTTATAAATGCCCAAAAATATAATAATAATGAGTTTATTAATGAAGGTTATTTTTCATCTAAGACGATGAATCATAGAAGTACTATATACACATACAAAAATACAAATTAAATTAAATTTTGATTTGAAATATCGTACTTAAAATAATTTTTATAACCTATAGCATCTGATGCATCCTCTGCCGGAGTAATAATATTTATTTTGTCACTAGATTTGGTAGTATGTAACCGTTGGACACTCATGTTGTTGTATTTTTAACTACCTATATTTTCATCTAAGCTTATCGCTCCGCTCGCTTAATATGTGCGTGACCTTCACTACGGATTAGTGCTTTCCGAAACCAGTAGTAAATTAACGGTAAATTTTACATAAGAATGACTTTCAATAAATGTTATTTATAATGTATATTGAATTATAAGCTTTCTATTTTTATTTAGATATTTATTAACAGATTTAGAATTAGGTAGTGCTCGGCTATAGGACTCTTTTCTGTCGAAGATTCCGTTTGGGTATTTACCGCCTTCTTCCTTATTTCTGCTGTGCTGGCATAGCTGTTTTGATCTAAAGGGTTAAGACTGCCAGTATAATTTAGAGGTATTATGATTTCAAGGCAGAAGTGAAGTGAACCAATGAGACACAAATGGCTCGCTAATGCTAGCAAACAACTTCTTTTCCAACGAAAGCAACGAAAGCGTAATTTTAACCAAATATGTCGTAACATCCGGTGGGTGTTGTACTCTTACAACGACTACGTACTATCACGACGACTGAAAGAAACAAACCAGTATATGGGCAGCACTGATTTCGCAATGACACCTAAAATACCTAAAACTGTTGCTGTCAAACTACTTGCTAAGCGTGGCAACATGAAATAAGCGTGGATAAATATCACTTCTCTATGTGGTAATCTATAGAGATTGTCGAGAGGACCATGTTCGGCTGTTGTCTTTTGATAGACTCTAAGTGTATTTTATAGGATGTAACGGTATTCGCAATTTTCATATTAAAATTTATTTATTATTAATTAATTCATTAAAACTACATTATGAATTACTACAGAAAAACTTTTCCTATAACAAAATTTAATATGTGCAACCTTGTACTTTCAGAGAATCTTGATTTATTTATCGCAATTGGCTAAAAGCCAAACCGTCTCTTCTTTTCAAATTAGGTACTCATGGTATGAACTTGTTAAAATTATAATACTGGTTATGAACTAAAATTCATTTTAATTTATTGATTTTGCTCACTGTTTTAACAAAGAATAGTTGCAATAGCAACCAGAAACAAAAATTAAGCTTTACTTAGTGGGTAACACTTTTTTCCTAGGATACCACCAAAATTTTATTCCTATCTTTTATCTTATCTTATTCCTATCGCCAAGTAGAAGTAGTAGCAGGATGTGTGGAATTCCATCGTGTACTTTGGAGATGATAATGCATCTGTAACCACATTTGTTTAAAATTTGTTGTAGATGTCAATGGGCTGCGATAGTCACTGTGAATCAAGTGGATTATAAGTAAATTTTTTACTACAACTTTATATAAAAAAATGGAAATTGAATACAAGTAATCTCGTGTGTAGGAAAGCTCTAATTTAACTCTTATAATTTTCACACTCATTTTACAAAGGAGTTTAAAGCTTCTAACAAATGATGGTTCTCGGAGCAGTAAGGTTTTCGAGTGCAGCCTCCTACCGGTAAACAAAGTTTTGAGCTGCTTCCTCTGTAAAAAGAGTGATAAAGACTTGGTAAGAAAATGAGGAAGTCGATGTATGTAAATAATTTAGAACCTTATTTTATAGCATTTTTGGCATTATACAGTGATTTGAATGGCTGCAATCATTATAAAAGAGTTTTCGTTAAGATGTAGAAGTTGTCAACGTGGTGGAAGTGGGTTAGGCAAACTTTATACAGTTTGAGCGACCGCCACTCAAGAAATTGCAGCGCAAGGAAGTGCCTATATCATACACGCCAAATGCTCTCCAATGAGGTCTTACCCTAATTCTTAAAACAACAAGAATACAAACATAAGTAATAAACGGAAATTCATAATGTTTGCTTTCATCTTAACAAACGAAATGGAAATAATTAAACTAAAGTGAAGCTTTCAGACCACCAATTTAGAAGCATTACTTTATCTTCTGTAAATCTCCATGAGTTAAATTACTAAAAGGAAAGTTTTGTGTAAAGTACTTATTCCTTTTTAAAGACAATATTCCTCTCGAATTAACTTTGTTATGTCGCATTTTAAAAGTACAAAAAGCTTTGCTATTTGCTAAATCCTTATCTGATTTACGAATATTGATTACTTACTGTGAGACGGTTTGAATTCAAATTAAGTATTTGATCAAGTCAACACACTTTCAATCTTGACCGCGTTGTTAATGAGAGCCTTTGGGTGATAAATCCGATACCTTTTTTAATAAATGGCAACCCTCCTGGTGATCTTGCACCTCTCTTCGGACCTAATATAATATCCCATAGCAGATTGTTAATCTCTTATTTCATTAAGTGGTTACTGTAGCCCATAGACATCTACATCTATCCTCGATTACGAACCAAAATGCAAATGCGATGTCACCCGTGAGGTTAGTTCTCACGGGTGAAACGATGGAATGTTTCGTTTCCAGTAAAAAATGGTCTCCGGTTCTCTATATTCACCATATGAAACCCAGCAGCATTAAGCTACTATTTTACGCCGGTATTCTGTGAGAGCGTGGTTCTTCCCCGGTCGAGCCGACCCATTCGTGCTACAACTATACTACTAATATATTCACAGCATGGCTCTACCACGTAAAGGTGCGTTTGTTAAAAGTTTTCAGGCCAAGCCATCTTAGGTGGCAATTTCTACTGGAGATTTCTAGCATCCACTGCTTTGTTATTACAATGGACACCATCGCAGCTTCCGAATATCGCCTTCTAAGTCTTTGAATCCGTCGGAGACTGGGGACCGGCTTTTAAGTTATTAATAGAATAGAATAGAAATTATATTTATTTTCTCATCACAAACAGGTACAGTATTATTGATGACAAACATGTTAAACTATAAACGTACTGAACCGTGGGTTGTGAGAGACTGGTGCCTAATAAAGGTATTAAACAATACCTGTTCTATAGGTCACCAGGTCCCTCCTCACGGATTGTATATCTTAAATTACACGTTTTTATAGCATATTGAAGACATCATTATTTTCATTTTGTTGGTTAAGAGAAAATCGAAATTTCTTAAATTGAAGGATAATATAACAAAGCCAACTAATGAAATTATACAGATACATATTTTAGATTAAAGTACATAATAATGTTATAATTATATATAATGTGCGTGATATTAAAGTTGGGGATGTAAGAAACTTTCAGTGGATTCGTATGTTAAAGATTTGAGCCAGCATTATTTTTGGAATAAATATTTGCTGTACAGCTCCGACGTAGCATGTCTATAAGGGAGTTCAGCTGCAGTTTTGAGGATTGCTCGTTGAGCTTTCTTAGCTTCTAGAAGGTGAGTTTTGGCTGCACTACCCCATACTGTGATGCAATAGCTGATTATTGATTGACTAAGAGCGTAATAGACAGATTTCATAATAGAACGATCAGCTATGTGTCAGAGGGATTTAAAAATATAAATAAGTTTTTTCAGTCTAGATAGCAAGGAATCGATGTGCAATTTGAAAGTGAGAGTAGAATCAACAATTACTCCTAGGTATTTAATAGATTCAACTCTTTCCAGCGTGGGACACAAGCAAGAGGTGTAATTTAGAGAGTCGCAGTAGTGAGCAAAGATAGAGCCAGAAGTAGGTAGTATTTTGTTTTTGTGACATTAAGAGTAAGTATATTATCCACCAACTATTTGTTAACACTGTTAAAGTTTTTGCGCAAGTTCAAATACTTCCTCCCATGAGTCTCCATTAAAAACAAGAGCTGTATCATCGGCAAAGGTAACTATTTTGCCTCGAGGTAGCTGGATCTCGCACAGGTTATTAATATAGATGAGAAACAGCGTTGGACCTAAAATGCTTCCCTGCGGCACACCATAGGTTACAGGAAGCTCATTGCTGAGAAAACCACCAAGCTTAACTCTTTGACTACGGTTGGTTAGATAACTCACAAATAGATTCAATGCTACGCCTCGTAGGTTATTCAAGAATTTTTATCATTCAGTTAGCAGTTAGTGTACACGCATACGTCTAGCCGCACGCACACAAACACCGTGCCGAACTCTGCCGAGTGCCGAAGTCTGCCGAACTGAAACGACGTTAGACGATGCACGGCTTTCAACGCCACACCTCCGTGCCCGTCGGAGTGGGGAGCGTGAGGTTTTTTTTCGTTACGGAATTTCTGGATTCGGTCCCCGCGCTCATGGCCCACGATAGAAGCTATGCAATAGCTTAAAAACACTTATAAAAAAAGTAAATGAATGTCTGATTCTTCTTTGATTTGGATTGGGGGGTTTCCTTCTTCTTTTTTGGCATACACCTTTCCGAAGAACATCCAAGTGGCAACAAGTTTGCGATCTTTAAAAAGCTGTCTTGCCAAATAATGGATGCGTCGATATTTCTTCGTAAGGGATTCCGATATAAATATAGTTTTGGAAGGTCCAGGTATATTAATAATTTGAGTATTGAGTTGTGGTTCTTTTTTTGTTCTTTTCAACTTATTAAATTCCCTATATTTCGAAATGAAGTTTTCCTTCCTTGTGGTAGTTGTGAAATCGACCATAATTGTATTAGTTTTGGTTCCAAAGACATCACGAACTTCCAAATCTTGAAGCAAAGGATTCGAATCGACAGCTGAGCATATATTTTTAATAGTGGTGGTCAACCTCTGTTTGTTTTCTTGTTCCAAGATTTGTGTGTTCCGTATTTCCACAGTTGTGGATCCTAAACCCTTCTCCAGTACATCTATTTTGGATTCCAGCGACTTAATTTGCGACTTATATTGCTGTTTTTCTTTTTCAATTGAGTTCAATTTATGAACTAATGTATCATATTGTTCGGACATAAAATATACAGATATTTGGATCTCTTTGTTTTGCTCAATTAGTGTAGAAATAGAAGAGTTTATGACATCAAATTTATCATCTTGATATAAGCGTAACTCATTAAACATTTTTTTCAATTGACAAATTTGAAGTTACCGGCGTTTTAATGAGCCTACGTTTGGTTCTTTTGGTAATGTTTATTAAATTATCTTGTTCATCAACACTCGTACAAGATATGTCAAGGGCAGAATCAGATCCATAAACGGTTGATTGACATTTATTTTCCGCAAGCCTAAACGAAGGAGTTTGAGGAGGAGTGCGTTGTATCTTAGACATAATTCAAGTTTTATTAAGTATTGCCGTAGTTGTAGGCCTAAATAACAAACATAAGCCGTCGGCAAGCGGTCAGTGTAAGTGGAGCTTGCGCGAGCGCGCCTCCCACTAGATGGCAAAGATAGTAGGTGGGGATGTGCAACGTCAATGCACTATGCATGCACTATGTAAAAATAGATCTATCCCAGTTATAATGCGTACAGTTGCGCTCACTCACGTGTTATTATTTCCTTCTTAGAATACTGCGGTCCTGGTACTCTCACGAATTAAACTTAGTAAATTAATGAAAAATACAACTATATTATAAGGTGCACAAAACGCGACTGATCTCTTCAGAGGTCCGAGAGGAAGGGGGGAAGGGGGAATTAACCTTGGGAGAATGCTTGTAAAGCTTGGCATCTTGGTTTTCAACCGCAGTTTTTCATTAAGTTGTAGTAAGGATTATCCCGCTGACTATCTTATTAACCCGGATTTTAATTGAAATTGTAAGTGATAATTTATTACATGCTCGGCGGTGAAGAAAAACATCGTCAGCAAACTATATATCTGAGAAAATTTAAAAAAAAATATTTCGAAGACATATGAAGTCACCAACACACATTGTGTAACAAGGTAGACATTTCCTTCCCTAAAACCCTCTCAATAATCAGAGAAGGCCTGCCCATCATTCGAACTCACAAAGGTTATATTTTTTGATGCCAGTAGGAAGCGAACTCGATTTACTCGCTGATAATATTTTAAGGTGGATATCATAATCATTATAAATTAGAATATTCAATCATTTCTTAGTGTCTGGATATAAATGTTAGTGCAATTACAAGCTGCGAGTTAATTGACGAATGAATTTTATGTCAGCTAATGAAAGCCGTCGGGTTCCATTACAGTACAGTCGCAGAGCTCATAAGGAACGTTATCACGTATTTAACAAAGATAATGACTGCAAATTTATTAAACGTGTAAATTATCTACACCCTTATAACTCATTGTTTTACAAGGTGGCAGGCTTATTTAAAATCTAGAAGTCATTCTCAATAAGGAACACACTCTTACCTGTTTCAATTCAATTCAACTCTCCAAATACTACAAATACTACAAACTAAATTGTGTTGAAATAAATTGAATTGAATTGTTTCTACCCAAAAGCAATAAAGGGTCTAGTTTCTTATTCAAAATCAACGTACGTACGTACATAACGTACATACGCTGTAAAGCATTCAAGCTCTATAGTTGAGAACGTATTTGAGGATTTCATTGCATAAACCATTAATTTATTTTAAACTGAGATTAGAATATCTATGTTTTAAACATGATTACGTATATCCATGAACTGCAGAAGCCTCTTTTTATTTTAGGACTATTGCCCTAAAATCAAACAGGAGATAAATTAACGTCGTTGTTGTTCAAAATAACGCGTGACTGGCAAAAGATAATCAAGGTACTTCATTTTCGTGGGTGTCGTGCAAGGCGACTATGGGATAAATCGAAAAGATCTTATGGCTTCCGATAAAAGGCGGGAACTTTGCGAGATGTCAGGTACTGCGATCGTCACACCGCCTACCAAGCGTGGCGATTAAGGCTTATCAGGGGACCGCGGGAAAGGCTCTAGTCCAGCAATGAGAATTTAACAACTTATTGAACCATAATAATTAAATTCTATAATCCGCTAATCCGCAATATACCAACAAATCCTCAGTAAAATCCGAAGCTATTCGAAACATTAAAATCGAGACATTTTTTCTGGTGAATGTTGTTCTGAATCATCAAAGCCTTATATTACAGCGACTCTACTACTAAATTCATTATCATTACGAAGTTGTATCGTTCTTATTTATTCAGAGAAAAATCCATCATGTGAGCGTTTCGGTATACGGTTATCTATAGTATCGTTCTCAGGGCAAGGAAAAACCTGTCTACAGTTTCCTTTTGTACCATGCAGTGACGTTTCGCTTTAAAATTCAAATTCAAAGCTACATTTTTCATGAGGTATCTCGTTTTTGAAATTTCATGCGTAATGTATGTTTGTGACTTAAAAACATTATGCGAGTTTTGTAAATAAAATAATAAAAATAACGCAATAGTAAAAAGAGCTCAGTCTCTCACTTCTCAGGGCTGGCAACGCATCTGCATTTTGATTTTTGATTGAAGATAAACGTAGATGTCTATGGGTCACAGCATCCACTTACCATCAATTGGACTGTGTGCTTATTTGTCACCCTTTTTCGATAAAAAATAGCAAAGCCGCAAAGTGCGTATACCAGTGTGTGGGAGATGCGTGGGAGAATACACAATTCATATCATCCGGTAAGTGTTGTAAAAGATGATAGGGGGGATTAAAACAGTAGAAAGTCAGCAGCAATTCCTGGTAGCAACTCAAAATAGTAGAAAACTGCATTTGTCGATTACAAATATAAAATATTTCCAGTAATGAGTTTTAGTAGGTCGTATCTTCTTATATTCATATCTTCGTGTAAATTTGTCTGGATATGATAAAAATAGCTAAGATACTCTATTTAGCAAAAGTGCCTGCACCACTGTGATCCCATCGGAAGGTTATAAATATTCAGTATGGTTTCAGACAGTAGGACATTCCGTCTAGTTTTCAGCGGTAACAATGCGTTTGTAGCCTCTGTTTCAAGTCATTTGGTGATGCCTATAGAATGTACTAACCACTTACTATTAGTTGGACTTGTAGTTCATTTGTCAGTTCAATTTTAAAAAGAAGACGATTAGATATGACAATTCAGAAAGCAAGGGATAGCTAATCTATATATATAAAAGTTTTTTTTTTATAGGATAAGGGTGATAAACGAGCACACAGTCCACCTGATGGTGAGTGGATGTTGCGGCTCATAGACACCTACATTTAACCCCGAGTAAGAATCAAAATGCAGATGCGTTGTCACCCCTGAGAACTAAGATGGAATGCCTCGATTCCAGTAAGACGGGTCTCCGGTTCTCAACACTCACTGGTTTGGCGTTTTGGTTTTAATGGCCAAACTGCTGGTTCAAATCTAAATTGCGGTGCGGCTATTAAATTAAATAGAGTAGTGGACTGTAGCTGTAGCGCGGTGCGAGCGGTGAATGGAATTTAATTTATTCGTACTACTGCAAATGCCCATAAATTCGGGATATAGGAAGGGCGTGAAGGAAGCCCACCTACCTAAACTTCCGCTGATCTGCCTCGTGTCTCGATGGCTGCCGGCTTTCTTCACACTTATCAACTTCACAGATAATCTTCATAGATAATCACGAAATATAGTTTTATTGCAAATGTCTATACTTTTTACTATATGTTTGTGTAATTCTATATCCCAATCACACAAGGGTGGGAGCGATGACGCGAGATATAAGTGATGCGGTTGGTTGTGTGTCTTCTCAACTTGTGTGAGCCCCGTTAACACGAGTGCACATGCTGGGCATAAAAAGGCGGTTGATAGGAAACTAACGAATCTCTTATAAACGTTAGGCGATAGTGCAAAGTGGCGCGAACACTTAACATACGAAATACAGAAGCATTAAGCTGCTATTTTACGCTGGTATTCTGTGAGAGCGTGGTCCTTCCCCGGTCGAGTCGGCCCATTCATGCTACAACCATAATAGCCGCAGCGTGGCTCTACCATGGATGAGAAAGAGAATAAAGTATTGAAAGTTAGGTATATTATGTTAAAATAATTGGCTTATATTTATTAATTTCAGAGAGCTACTTACATGCTATTAAGAAATATATTTTTTTTTTTCATTTTATTACGTCTGTGTGTCAGTCCGGGCTAATCTTTGGAAAAGCTCAAACTATTGTGATGATAACCTAGGAACAGATGTCAGAAAGGATCTACATTATATGTTATCTGAAAAACTTGAAGATTTAAAGAAAAATGTTAAAAATGTTATGGTCTTTCTTATCTTTAATCATAATAACGCCAAATTAATAAATACGAGTATCTATCTATCTCTTGTATTATCCAGGCGCAGCCGAGTCGGGACGCTGGTAATTAAATACAGTGCTTGTGAGCTGTCACCACATCATGACTTTTATCATTACAACTCTTTACAAGTATATTGACATCAAAGTTTGGGGACGGGCATAGTTCAGAGGGGCTTAACTCCACACCCCGCTTACCGAAACAGGGCTGCCACTCAAGATCTTTCCTTCTCTATCAGTTCAATGCTCTTCGAGCTAGTTACCCGGCCCATTGTCACATCTACTGACTTATCCGTTGGATACAAATATATTTGCAAAATCCAAAATTGCACACCTTGATGCCTCCTTTGATTATTAATTTAGGTGTCTTACGGCCTTCTTCTATATAAAAAAAATATTCTCCAAATGTACATTGACTTTGGTTGGTATCTCGCAAATTAATAATAATATAAAGATTTCATTTATGCATTAGATTAATCCAAAGGGAAAGTGCTTTAAAAGCTTTTGGTAAGATAGTTTAGTTGATTAATTACTTCAGTTGTTTGTAATCATGTTAACACTCAAATCACCAGATCAAGTGCCGTAACAGTAAGTATAATTAAATCACGTTTTTATTTACATAAATAAGAATTGCTTAATGTAAGAGCAAATTAAGAAAATTAAAAGAAAAATTGAGGTTGATAAAGTAATTGAAAAAAAGAAAGAATATAAACTAAAAAAGAACTAAATGATTTATTGCAGTTATTATCGAAAGAAACCAGCTCTACATGATTCGATAGATAGTAAAAAAGTGAGCTGTTTTGTTAAATAGTTCTCGCGATATCTTGTACACAGGGAAATCATGAAACAGACGAATGCGCATCCACAAAATAATGT